CAGTATATTTATTTATATGACGTCATCACAAAAGAACTTACTGGACGTCAGAGTGCTCTACTCAAAGACGAATTTAGAAACTACTTAAGTCAACTTAAGTCGGTCAATCCAGGAACTGGAAAACAACACATTGAAGAGGAATTCCAGGTAATCCTTCATACTCCAGCAATCAAGACCTTCTTGTGATTACCATTATCAAAGACAATATGTAATTTCCCTTCATTTCAGAGTTTTCGACTTTCACATTTCTAATATGTGTAAAAAGGCCTGTTTTAAATGATCTTGTATTCAGGTCATGGTACACATGGCACCTGATCCCACCTCTGATGTTTCGGTCCATGTTTGCTCTGCTCTTATTTTGTATTGTTTAATGGACTTTGAGATTGAATACTGTTAGTTATCTCCATATCCTTCTTACAAAATAAGCTACTATAAAACAAAATCGAAATAGATAATCCATAAACCTAAAAAAAAAAATTAATTGAGATCGTAGAAAACACTGTTAATCCACTTATATGTGAGTAACATTCCTCTTTAACTCTTTAAAGCACAATTATATTCGGATCATTTTTTGAGTATCTGTAAGTTAGTAGAGCTGAGCACCATATGCAGGTGGTAGCGGTATAATACTGCCTATATTGGGAAAGTTGGCGCGAAAGAAATTGAAGTTATTTCGATTGTCATACAATTTAATTCTTATGTCGCACTAATCATCACTCTGTAATCAGTTAAACAGCCAAACATGAAACAGAAGTGACTGACTGTTCACTACAATTAGTGAAAGTAACTATAATTGTTGATTGAAAAATGTCGTCACTATAATCCGAATGTCTAGTAGATAGACATAGCAAATATTTTCTTCTCATGTAAAAGATTTGGAATAAGTTCTATTACTATGGGAATATATATAAATCGGCTTTCAAAAGGAGAACACAATTACATGTAGTTTTAAATTAAAATTCTAACATTTTGAAATTCTAATATTTTATTTCTCTTATGTTTAATTACATTTAAAATGTTTATTTAAATATTAGTTCTAATAAAAAGCAACACATTTATATTTCACAATGATTCTTTTTCTTGTATTTAATTATCAACTATTGTAATTTACAAGTTGTTTAATTTTTTCAGTTGATCGAAAAACTAACTCCTACTTTTAATGAAAAGCGGTACGGAAGTGCGAAAGCAGTGAACAACCTATCAAAGAACAGGCATAATAATGTTTTACCAGGTATGTCGTTTATTCAAAAAGGGGAATCCGTATATATATGAATTTGATATAATACAAAATGCTCATTAGCCACACTCCTCAACTGAGTCATTTTTTAATACAAAATCTGTTTCTGTGGCGACTCTAGTCTTTTTGTCCTTTAATTTTATCAACATAATTATACACTATATGGAAATAACTCTTCTTTGACATGTCTCTTTTTTCTGGGATGAATATTCTCATAGATTATACATTTGATGTATTATGAATAGAATTGCTACCCAAAACAAATTAAAATTTTCAGTTCAGAGGATATTTGCAGTCTGACTTTTCTTTATATTTTCAGACGACAATTACAGATTATATTTAAGCAGAGGAGATGGCGACTACATCAATGCTATCCAGCTACCGGTCTGATGCATTATAGTATTTAGATCAGAAAAGAATAAAAATAAAAAAAACCTTACTATTTAATACATATATACAATCAAATTGCCTTACCTAAACTGTATTATAAATGTTTTTCTTAAAATATATTCCTAACAAAAGAGGGTTTAAGTTCACTTATGCAGAAAATATTAATACTGAGTATATAATGAGTGTAAAAGTAAGTAATTGCTAATAAACACCTTTACTGACGTTGTAGGATGCCCAGCGTCCTTTTGGTTATATCCTGACACAAACTCCTTTGCCGAATACGGTGGGAGATTTCCTTTCCTTAGTGGCGGATCATGAAGTCTTAAGTATTGTAATGTTTGAACATGATCAAGAAGAGGTAACTGTAAGCTTCAGACCCGGAATGACATTTTCTGTAAAAAGAACATGTTGATACTTTCTTTTAGAACAATTTTCTTACATATATTTTTTTCCATTTCTAGACTGTAGGAGTTTACTTACCTTCTAAGGAAGGACCAATTCTCTGTGACTCGTTTGAATTATTTCTACATGATCAATCCGAATTAGGTGACATTGATGTTTTAAACATGAAATTTTACGACAAACAGGTATATAAAATTATTTAAGAGCTTTAAAGCTTTTATACTAATTTATTGGCATTAATAATTTGTCATGAATTTTAATAAATCTAAACGTTTTCTTTTTGTAAAGATTATTGTAAATGCAACATACATTTTAGACAGAAGATGCACGATTTATTAATGTGTTTCGTGGTCATTTCTGGAAACAAAATCGTCTCGTTCCTGAAGATCATCAACCAATGACAGACCTGATAGAAGCTGTGTTAAATCTCCGAAAAGAACATAGCGGACATCCCGTTCTGGTTCACTGCATGTATGTAATTAAACGTGACGTGTGACTGTCAGCTACTCATATATCAGTCACGGGGTTTCTTTTAAATGAGCCGTCCCATGCGAAAAGGGCCCTTATGTATTTTGACGTCATAATGAGAAAAACGCCGGTAAAGATAACGTCATAATATGCAAGTTGCAAGTGAGACATTTCTCAGCTATTTAACATGAACGTTATCAATATTTTTTTTCATTATTGTGTATACGATCTAAATTCATTGAAATTTTTTAAAAAAGGAATATCTGTTTTCAGCTCAGAGCTTAGTTTCACCTGGACATTTCCAATATTGAGCATAAATTTTGCTGAAAGATGATAATTATTCCGATCATAAGATTTTATAGGCCATCATTAAAAATATATTTCTAGGTGGGTAGGTAGGTTTTCTTTGCTTCACAGTATTGAACAAATTAATAACTTTCATAAATCTCAGAGACTTAGAAATTTATTGATATTTTTCTTACACACTGGATAGATATACAGATTTATTATTTATTGCTTTAAAAATTTCAATAAAAAACATCTTAGAGAAATTATACTATGGAAGTTGAAAAAAAATCAAAGTGCTGAAAAAAAAATGATTGGGTGGGGGAGATTTTTTCATTGTTAGCCTTATTAGATGTTTATGTATTGATAGAGGTTGTACCTGCATGTAATTCCGCATATCATGTACACTTCCTTTCAAATGCTAAACCATCACAACCGCAGTAAAATTTTTACAAGAGAAGTTCGTTTACCACAATTAAAGTTTAGCTTTGTCCACATTCACGATTAATATTTTGATGAGGTCTAGCGAGGCCGAGGAAATTGAAAAAGTTTGGTGATCAATTCTTCGTAAAGCAGATGCATAACAAAGTAAACATCAGAGACGTAGATATCTTGTCTGTATAAACGTCATAAATGATGATTTTCCTCCGTCACAGTTAAATTGATATGAGTCAACATTGTATTTAAGTACAAAATTATTTGACATCACAGACACATTGTGTAATTTTTTAATGTAGCGGAGAGAGTCGGGAAAATAAATGAAAAAAAACCTTTGAGATTGTGGGCCCCCTAAAAAAAACGGCCATATTTTTTTTAATGGAGACAGTGACGCTATATAAAGGGGTTTGGGCAGCTGGTTCTTTAGAAAACATCTTCAGACTAATTTAACAAATATTATTTTTGGAAATAGGTTCCCCTCTCCCGGAGGTACAATACTTCATGTACGTGCATGATGTACATACCTGCTTCTAATTACAAAAAATTAATATACAAATAATTAAAGCGATATTATACTTAAAATATTTGTTAAAAATATTATAATCTCCTTGAAATTTTATCTGAAAGATTAAATACTTATTTTCCTGTAAAATACCGGGTATCGTTTGAATATATATTTTTTTTATTTCTTACAAAAATGCTTATAAAGTTTATTAGAAATAAATACCGGTAGATTTAACAAGTAGTTTATACAACATGCATGCACGGATCAGGGAGGGGGGATAAAACAACAAGCAAGATTTAAAGATTTAATAAAAAAAAAAAAAATACACAAATAAAATGTATTTCAGGAGGGGGATAATCCGGTCTCTCTTTCGAATAAAAAAATGAGCCAAGACAACAGTGATGTTCAGTAATGTCGGCGATACCATCAGAGGTGACTCACTTGATACATGTACAATGTACATTTAGATACAAGACATCGTCGGAAACCCACGGGTGATCTCGTCTTTACTTATCGATAAAGACGAGATCACCCGTGCGTTTCCGACGATGGATACAAGATTATCCATTTAATTTCATCACATTTTAGCTCACGAGGCGTTGCAGAGATATAACAAGTGAGACTTTTAAGCAGCCTGAAATGGCTGTTTTAATCTGGTGCTCTCGAATGTTTTAAAAGAAAATTTGAGATAAATACGTGCATGCACAAATCAGAAAGTCACAATATGAAGGCAAGGATATGAAAGCTTTTGTATGACACAAAAGGGTTCAAACAAAATTAGGCGGGATTGATTGATTGTATATTGTTTAACGTCCCTCTCAAAATTTTTCACTCATATGGAGACGCCACCACTTTCCGGTGGAGAGCTGCAAATTTTGTCCTTTACACGGCAATTAGGGCCATTGAGCAGGGAGGGATCTTTTTCGTGCCAGCACCTTCTGTGATACGGAACCTCGGTTTATACAGTCTCATCCGAAGGACCGGTCTCCACGTCCCACAGTGCCAGGATTCGAACCCGCGACGTAGGGATTGACTCCTTACCTCGTGACTTAAGAGCAGACGCTCCAACCACTGCGCCACGCGGGCGACGAAGGGTGGGGGGGACTTGATGGATCAGTGGCTTTTAAACATCAACATATATTCTGAACTATTCGAGAATAAGACAATAATTTATCAAATACCGGTATTGAACTCATTATGGCCGTACGAGGATAAGACGATAATTTATCAAATATTACAGCTTCAGTTTCCGTGAGATTGAATGTTTCTTCCTGGGCCCCCCCCCCCCCCCCCCCACCCACCCCCCTCTCAATTTTTCGGATATAAAACTTTTATGTCTATTATCGTATAATCAAGGAAAAACATCTCTTATTTGTAAAACTTTATCAGCTGCCGGGGGCTTCGATCCCCAACCCCCCACCATTTTCTTGCCCTAGACCTACTGGGGGCTTCAGTGTAGCCCCAGACCACCTACCTTCTGCTTCGCCCCCTTTATAAAATTCGTGGATCTGCCACAATTAATTAATGCAAATGGACCCCTCTCCCATCAATCAATTTTCTGATTCACTCTAGAAACATTCGTTCATATATAGATATAAGACGAAATTAATATCAAACTGATTAGGCCATTAAAAAAATACCTAGATTTTCATTTGATTTTTTTTTTAAATCGAGGCGAGCGGGCTGCTTTTTATTTATTTATTTTTTTTCCATTTTGCAGATTTTTATAAATTCAATATTGACTTGGTCAATCGGTGCAGATTTAGCTAGAAAATCTGCATAAAAGTCATAGTAGAGGTCCATGAATCTCACACTTCACATAATCACCAATCTTTCACAAAAATTGTCTTTTCAGTTGTAAAATTCATGCAGACATTCGCGGGATTTACAACGCAGCAGAAGGATAAAACGTACGCTCAACTAGGACCTTGGGTCCCCCGCAAATAGGTCGTCATTTTGCGTAGTAATAAAACATTTTAGGAACTCTTCAGACATTAAAGGCACAAAAGTAAATTCATCCATATCAATACGGAGACCTCAGGTCACCTTATATATTGATTGAATTTTATTTGATATACAGTTTTCTTTGTCTTAATTACTCCAAAATAATCATATATATAACTCCATACAGGTCTGCTTTCTAATATATATATATAGTAGAAACGTGAAAGTAATTAGGAGGAGCAGAGGTAACCTTATATTGGTCACCTTATATTGTACATCATTAGAGGGATCATAGATCACCTTACATTTTAAATTGATAGAGGGTCAATTTTTATTTTTATTGCACATCATAAGGGGGACCTGAGGATACCTTGTATTGCACATCATAAGGGGGACAAGACGTCACTTTATATTGTACATCAGTATAGGGACCAGTGGTCACCTAATATTGTACTGTACATCAGTTGAGGGAACAAAGATCACCATATATATATTGTACATCATTAGGGGGACCAGAGGACACCTTATATTGTACATCAGTAGGGGGGCCAGAGGACACCTTATATTGTACACCAGTCGGGGGACCAGAGGTCACCTTATATTGTACATCAGTTGGGGGACCAGGGGTCACCTTATATTGTATATCAGTCAGGGGACCAGAGGACACCTAATATTTACATCAGTGCGGTGACCAGAGGTTACCTAATATTGTACTGTGCATCAGTAGACGGAACAAAGATCACCTTTTATTTATTGTACATCAGACCAGAGGACACCTTATACTGTACATCAGTAGGGGGACCAGAGGACACCTTATATTGTACATCAGTAGGGGGACCAGAGGTCACCTTATATTGTTCATCAAAAGGGGGACCAGAGGTCACCTTATATTGTACATAAGTAGGGGGACCAGTGATCACCTTATATTGTACAGTACATCAGGAGGGGGACCAGAGGTCACCTTATATTGTACATCGATAAGGGGACCAGAGGACACCTTATATTGAACATAAGTAGGGGGACCAGTGGTCACCTTATATTGTACAGTACATCAGGAGGGGGACCAGAGGTCACCTTATAATGTACATAAGAAGGGGGACCAGAGGTCACCTTATATTGTACATAAGTAGGGGGACCAGTGGTCACCTTATATTGTTCATCAGGAGGGGGGCCAGTGGTCATCTTATATTGTACCTTATACTGTACCTCATTTTTGGGACCAGAGGTCACGTTATATTGTACATCAGTACGGGGACAAGAGGACACCTTATATTGTACATAAGTAGTGGGACCAGTGGTCACCTTATATTGTACAGTACATCAGTTTGGGGACCAGAGGTACCTTATAATGTACATAAGAAGGGGGACTAGAGGTCACCTTATGTTGTACTGTACATCAATAGACGGAACAAAGATCACTTTTTATTTATTGTACATCAGTAGGGGGACCAGAGGACACCTTATACTGTACCTCATTTTGGGGTACCAGAGGACACCTTATATTGTACATCAATAGGGGGACCAGGGGTTACCTTATAATGTTCATCAGTAGGGGGACCAGAGGACACCTTATACGAGGGCTCAATGTTCAATAAATAATGTCCTCGGTTCTCGGAATGAAACAAAAGACGCTTTTCAATAATTTAGTCATATTGATTTAAGCTTATATTATCTTTAATTAAAACACATATCCGTAACATTTTTATCCAATTTCTATTTGTTTGTAGAACTCATTTTTGGGTATGACCCTTTGTATACTGGATTATGGCAGATCCTAAGATTTCCTGGACTTGTTTGTTCCTTCTGAAAGGCGTTTTTTTCAAGTTTGGAA